CTATAAATTTTCTAGCTTGTAGTCAATCAACACGCTTGAAAAATTTGTCGTGCGAATGCAATAGTACCCTTAGGCTGGTATTACGTTTGTCGCATGACAAATGTTTTAAGCGTGTTGATTGCCTACAAGCTAGAAAATTTCCTAGATCCTCGAGAACTTTTCTATCCTGCAGCCACTCGACACGCTGGAAACATTTGTCGTACGGCAAATGTAATATTAGCCTTATACCTTTTATTCCATCGAGCGTAACTCGCGATATATGAATGGCGCGTGAATGAACGAACGCGAAAATGAACCCGAACACTCGCGCGAGCCCGAAGAAATAATCTAAACTTGGCTAATGACGAAAATGCAGTGTAAATTAGCCGGCATTCGTTCATCGGCTCAATTAACGTGGCTCGCGCCACGTGAATCTCCTATTCGGGAAATATTAAATACACGCCCGGAGGCGCGTTTCCCGTCGCCGTCCGGCGCTCGTTAATCTCATACGGGCTAAACCTGTTGTTGTAGAATATTTATTATATAAAGTTTTCTATTTATAATCTGGGGCCATGGGCGTTGCCGCGCCTGATGCCCGAGTGCGAGTGCACAACGCACCGGTGTGTCCAAGAAGCGCGAGTTAAAATTAAACTAAAAAACACGATTTCGTGGTACTGGACGTAACTTCCGACATTGTATAACCCTCCTCCCCCTCCGCCGCCGCTCGGAGCTTCAACGATCATCGGACTTAATCCTTCCGGCGATTATTCGAGTACATTTTTGTAAGTTGTCGCTGAAACTAGTTGAAAGTATATCCTTTAGAGCCGCAAATTTTTGATATAAATTTATATGCCTTAAGGTGACTCCTGCATAAACGGACCAGAGGTAGTAAAACAATTGAAATTTGAGTATGTTGTACTTGCTTCAGTTTTATCAATCGGTACGCGATGTTTCAGACCTGGTCGCCAGTGAAATAAAAAAAAGAAAAAAATGTAAAAATTATACTTTTTAACAAAGGGATTACGATCATTCGCAGAAGCACTTTGAGGGTTAACATTATTTCACGGAAAAGGGAGATCTCGATAAAAAACGAATAACATAATAAACGTCAAGGATTCAAATGCGTTAACGAATACACGAGGTCATCGACCTCTGCAAGCAAAATTTGTTACCAAGTCAAAAAATATGATGTACATTTCTGACGAACGCTTGGGAGCTTCGTGAGATCTGACAACGTGACATATCAATGCGTTGACATTTTTTAAAAATCATAATGCATTATTTAGCGAAAACGAAAGAGACCATCCAGAGATAAACCGCTGACCAAAATGATGTTCGGCAATGCCTACACGGAGAGGATTGTCTCTCAAAACTTATCCTGAAAACCATGTAATCACGGGACCACGTGGCATTTCGAAGGATTTTACGAGTTTCTTGAAACGTTACCGTACATTTACTAGTAATTATACTTAGTACAAATTTTACTAGTAAAATGTATGGTAGCGTTTCAAGAAACTCTCGCAAAATTCTTCAAAGTGCCACGTTGTCCCACGATTTTCAGGGTAAATTTTAAAAGAAAGTTCTCTCCCCGCGTACCAATGCTGGGGGCCTTACTCTTACTTATCTATCTCGTGTCATTTTATCTTATTTTATCTTTGCAACGTCCCAGCAAGGCCGAATGCCCAAACTAATGTCCCAAAAATGCCTCGTCATGCCACAAATATGTACACCGCAATGCCCTCGGCGGTTTACCCCTCGACACCCGTGCTATCCGCTCCCTGCAGAGACCACCGTAAATATCTAAGTATTAACAGTTTTTTTTAATTTTGAAAATTTTATATCGCGGCACGCGTAGCCACGGTATTGAAACACCGTGTCGCCGCGGTTCGCACGATCGAATTCGCTTGGCTGCGGCGGCGGCGGCGGCGACGGGTTAAACGATCGCCGAGGTTACGTAAAGGCGCATTTTGCTGGCGCCTGCTCGTTCGCTTCGTCTCTCTCTCTCTCTCTCTCTCTCTCTCTCTCTCTCTCTCTCTCTCGTTCCCTCTCGCTTTATAGGACGCGACGCTTTTTTGCGGTCGTAGTCACGTCGCCGAACGACGCGGTCGACGGACCCGGTGAGGAAGGGAGGGGACGGTCGCGGGGCCCGTTAATTCGGCGCTTTCTTTAAACGTGACGAATACCACGAGTACACGGCGTAAACAGTGAGGACGTGGCGTCACGTCGGCACAGTTATTACACACGAGGACACTGTTTCTTGAAAGGGTACCTTTGTAGCGGCTTCAAAGGCCGGCGGCAAAGTTAAATTTGTAAAGCGCGGATGTCGTTGTCTATTTCGAAGCGCGACCAGAGCTAACGAAAATCGTAGATAATTTGGGAAACCTCGCGGGAATGTTTTCTTCAAGTTAATTGTTCGCATTTCTTTTTTTTTTGTTTTTTGCGACGTTTCCTTCGCAAAGTTTCCACGCGAATACGCGCGAGCTCGTACAGTTTACCGATGACTCACTATTGATTCTCGCTTTCCCACCGTGCGCCACGCGCATTGATGAATGAATTCCTTTTAAACGCGTCCCGTCTCGCTCCCTTGTATCTCACAGAAAACTCTTGGCAGATACGAAGGTAGGTGACGACATTGATTAAACTCGGACGCGACGGAGAGACTGCAGCGGGTAAACGTAAGACAAAAATCCTTTTCGGACTCGACCGCCTTCGCCCGACCTCGCGAGTGATTCACGTGAATTCTATGCGACAAAAGAGCTCGAGAAGAGGGGAAAAAGGTCGAGACCCATTATCGGATTTGAATGTCTACCTGCCAACACTTTTGGCGTTTGAAAGGAAAGGCGAGTTTGAAGGAATGTGCTTCGACAACCTAAGATCATCCTCCGAGGGGTAAACCGCTGAGTGCATTGTGGTGTACAGATTTGCGGCATTAACTCGGGCATTAGGCCACGCTGCGGCGTTATTAAGATAAAATAAGATAAAATCATATCCTGCGAAATTGTAACGGTAACGGCGAAATTTTTCCCCGTTAACCGAAGTAACAGGCGCGTCTCTATCTGTCGTTCTCACGCTCGGCTTTCACGCCGGCGGAAAATCGTCGGCATCTCTCGGCTCTTCCTCTCCGGCGCGTTGCCTATATTTGTCCACATCTCGAATGTAAGCAGGTAGACATCGGCTACCGTTAATAAATTCTGTTTTACATTGGCCCGAGCCTCTAAGCTCATTAGCACCGAGCAGGTCCGAGCAGGTGACGATTGGTGCACGGCTCGCGGCCTAACGTTATAATGTGGCCAGCTGTACGTTACGACATAAAATTATTCCGTCGTTCAGACACCGGCGGCGACGGCTAGGCACGTGCAGAATTGGGAAGTAACTCGTTACTTGTAACGAAGTTACAGTTACTTTTTTTTTTGGTAACTCCAACTTAACTTCGTCGCTTTCTCTCCATCTGCAACTGTAACTTAACTCAGTTACATTTTTTCGATAACTAGTAACTAATTTGGTAGTTACATTAATAGCTACTTTATGTATTTTTCAAACTTCCACAGATCGCACTAGGCCTTGCATAAACGCCTTTATCGACACTGTCCAGTTCAAACGCGGGTTTGATATTTTTATTTTCATTGCAAGAAAGCAACTGCAGCAAAGTAACGAATCGTCACTTTTTGAGTAACTGCAACTGTAACTAGATACTTTTATAAAGTAACTTCCCAACCCGATTCTCGCTCTTTAAACATTATTTTCATTTCCATTTTAACACAATACCTTTCTCCATATCGAATCTAATCATCTCATAAACAGTTGTTTTGAGCTACTTGTTATTTAACGCAAAAGCGAACGCTAAATCGCCGATGAGTATCGACGACGAGATACTTTGGTGTGAATCAGTTACGTAAGTCGTACTTTCGGAAATTCTGGTCGGTCCGTTCGGTTTACCCAATGAATAACAAAACCGCGGGCGAGAGAGGGAGTGAGGCTGGTTTTTCACTCGCTGGTTAAACGTTAACCAGAGGTTAATCGTTTATCTGTCTCTTCTTAGATAATAATATAGAAAAAGCTGGAGAGCGAGGACTAACCTCTGGATAACAGTTAATCAGGAAATGGAAAAACCGGGCCTAAGCGTGTCGATTGGCTCCGCGGGATAGTAAAGTATTCAGGGTTGGAAAAGTTACTTTATAAAAGTATCTAGTTACAGTTACAGTTTTTTCGCTAAAATGTAACTAGTTACAGTTACAGTTACTAAAAAAAAAGTAACGAATCGTTACTTTGCAGTTACTTTCTTGCAGTGAAAATAAAAATATCAAATCTGCGTTTGAATGATAAAGTGTCGATCAAAGCGTTTATGTGCAAATGCAAGACCGAGGGGGAAACCGCTGACCAAAATCTTGTACACCAATGCCCAGTGGGCGTTACTTTATCTTATTATCTTGTTTTATCTCCTTTTATCTTTATAATGCCTCAGCAAGGCCTAATGCCCAAACTGATGCCCAAAAAAATGCCTAATAATGCCCAGTAATGCCGCAAATCTGTACACAACAATGTCCTCCGCGGTTTCCCCCTCGTGCAAGACCTAATGCGATCTGTGGAGGTTTAAAAAGATCTAAAGTAGCTATTAATGTAACTATCAAATTAGTTACTAGTTATCGAAGAAATGTAACTGAGTTAAATTACAGTTACAGATGGAGAGAAAGTAACGAAGTTAGAGTTAAAAAAAAAAGTAACGCCCGCCTAGAGTGAAGGAAGGTCCAGGTTCAAACCCTGGCTGAGGTAATATTTTACGCAATAAATTTTCTGTGTTAACAACACATCGCCAGTCATGGTCGATCAACTGCTTAATCATAACGAAGTTAAGTTAGAGTTGCCAAAAAGAAAGTAACTGTAACTTCGTTACAAGTAACGAGTTACTCCCCGACCCTGAAAATATTGTCGAGTATCTAGAAATGTTCTATTCAGCGGCCAATCGTGCACGCTTAAAACATTCGTCGAGAAATGTAACGTTAGCCCAGGGATGTTTCACTTACCGTGTCTGCTGAGCCGGCTCCAGTGGTAAGGGTTGCAGCATATGTATACGGGATCTTTAGCGGAATGACACATAGGTAGTCTCTTGAGCTCCGTGGAGTGCTCGAGATCCGGCCACCGCCAGATCTGGCAGCAGAGCAGGTGCGGGTCGCACGGCGAGCCTCTCACCGGCGCGACGACGCCGTCGCCTCCGCCGCCGCCGTTCCTCGCCGATCTCATCGGCGACGCGGACGAGGAGTCCTCCGACGCGGAGCAGCAGCTCTCCTGGTCGTCCTCGACCGAGGACGAGCGGTGGTGCCTGCTGGAGCGGTGGTGATACTGACGATAGCGGCGCTGATTAAAGTGACGATTGTGATGACGATGCGGCCGGCCGGCGTGGTGCTGCTGCTGATCGTAAGGATAGTCCTCGGCCGGGCGTTGCTGGCGCGGCACGAGAACGCACGAGCCCAGGTCGGCGCCGTAGCTCTCGACCGCGTTGAGCAGCATCTCCAGTTGGTTCTCCTTGAGCGTCTTGAGGAGCTCCTTGCACCTCAGCAGCCGACCGGGGTCCTGCTGCTCGTCGTCATCCTGGCTGGCGTCGCCGCCGCCGCCGCAGCAGCAGCCCTGATGCAGCCTGCTGGACGCGGCGCTGCGCCCTCCGTAGCCCACCGTACTGCCGCCGCCGCCACCACCACTACCTCCCGCCGCTACCCTGCTCACTTCTCGGCCCGTCGTCGCCGTCGCCGTCGTTGCTGCTGTTGTTGTCGTCGTCGCCGTCGTCGTCGCCCGGTGGTCGTTACCGCCCGCGTTGTTGTTGTCGTAGCCGGTGGCGTTGCTGCCGCTGCTCGTGCGATGAAACGTACGTGACGATGAATCCTCTTGAGCTTCACACTCGGTTTCATGCTCCCCACGGACCTTGGCCTTGCCTAGCAGACGTCTAATGAGCACCGTCCGTTTGCTCCAGAACATCAACATGAAACAGGATTTGCGGTACGCGCATTTGGTGGCCAGTCCTTTTCAACGTAGCCGCCGTAGGAAAACAAAAGGAGACCCGAGACGGGCGGGGGGCGGGGAGGGCTGGCCCTCACGCGCGCACGCACGCACACGCGGACGCGCACACGCGGCCGAACGGCCTCCCTCTTCGGGCACCCTCCTCCGCGAGGTCTCCTTCCTCCCTCTCTTCTCTTCTTCTTCTTCTTGTTCTTCCTCTCCTCTCTTTTTCCTCTCCTCGTTCTTCTCCTCTCTTCAACGAGCATCAAATATGCACTGTCAACGGAAAACACCTCTCTCTCGGCGGGCGCGAAAAATCACGGACCTCCTCTCTCTCTCTCCCTCGCGCACGCGGAGAGGAGCACAGTCGCGACGCCCGCGCTCGCGCGTATATTTATTTATGCCCGCGCGCGTATCTCGCGCGCACTTTGGATCACGGTCCCGAAATAGTGTGACAGTCCACCGCGCGGAGCTCCGTTTCGCTCTCCTTCCCTCCTCTCGCTCCCGCTCTCTCCCGTTTCTCTCTGCCGGTGATATTTCCGACTCGCGACGGCGAGGAGGAACGGTCCACCTTCTCCTGCGGATGAGCTCTCCGGTCCAACAGCGCTACCGGCTGACCTTGAACTCTCATTAACTCTGCGTCCTCCTCTCTCTCTCTCTCTCTCTCGGCTTTATCGCGGTCCCTTCCCCTCACGTGCTCTTATCGTCGACGACGGACACCTCGCGGGCAACCTGCACGACGACCGTGTGCGCGGGCCACTGCCGGCATCGCGGACGCCGGCCTACGGTTACGCGCGCACCACGCGGCTCGGACGGTCGCGCGCGCGCGTGCACGCACGCACACGCCGAGGTCACCGCCGACGGACGGGCGCGCTGCTACTGATAGACTCGTCGCGCGCTTCTTATCCGTCGCACACATGTACGGGTGGCCGCGCGAGGAGAAAGAAGAGCCACGAGCTCTCGGGTGGGGGTTGAACGAGAGAGGGTGAGAGCGCGACACCCGCGCGCGCGGCCTTTACTTTCCTCGGCCGGCGCGTATCGAGGGCGACGCGGTGCCTTAACCTCGCGACCCGGCGCGCGCGCGCACACACACGCGGAACACACACACAGAGAGAGACACACACGCACACACTTAGCGCGCGCGCGCGCGGCGTATACACACCGGCGACGTCGCGTCGCGTAGATTCCCCTTCAGGAGGAGACAGCCGCGACTCTCGCCAGCTGTCCGCGCGGCGACGCAGCCGTCGCTGCTGATGCTCGCGGCTGAGAAGCGCGATAACGTTCCCGGCGATCCGGCGCTCGTGCCGTCGCCAGTGCCGGCACCACCACCACCCGGCCGGCGGCACCGCGTACCGACGATGACGACGTCGGCGACGACGGGCACCACCACCACCACCACCACCGCCGCCGCGGCGACACTCGTACAACCTCAGACTCGCAACCGTCGCTCCGTCGATCACTCCCCGTCATCCGTGCGCGCGTATCACCGAGTGACATTTTCCGCTCGCATCGTCCGTCCTTCTCTCCCTTCGTCCGCTGCTCCTGTCTCTTTACGCTTTACCGCGCGCCGTCGTTCAAAATCATCGCCGCCGCCTGCCAGTTGCCCGCGCGAGAGAGCTCGTCCGTCCAACCGTCCGACCGCGAGGACGCGCACTGTCACATTCTTGAAATCGCTGCCCCGCGCGCGGAACGGAGCGCGAGCGACACTCGCGCGCAGGGGCGGTACTCTCGCGGCCGAGGTGCGCGAGAGAGCGAGCGCGATCGAGCGCGCGGCGGGGGGAGGGAGAGACGCGCCGCCGCGTGGGGAGGGGAGTGGGAGAGACCGGCGCGCACACGAGCGGAGGGCGAGAGAGGTCGTACGTACGCGGCGCCACGGAGAAAACGGCGCTTCTACGACGACCGGAGCGACGTCGGTGTCTCTTCGCGCCCGCCGGTGTCCCTCCTCGCGTTCGCCAACGAGTCCGACCGCTTCCTCCTTCGTCTCGCTCTTGTTGCCCCGCGCTTGCCCGTTCTATCTCGCGCGACCAAATACCAGCGTCGCAGTCGACGAACTGTTGCACACGACGACCGACCGCGCGGCGTACACCGCGCGACTAGCTCCGGGCTCCGAATCGGCCAAGCTCGGCAACGCGACTGGCGCGCACGAGGTGCTCCGTCACGAGCGCGCGCGCGCCGATCTCCGCCGCCTGCCGCCGCCGCCGCCACCGGCCGTCGTCGCCCCCACCCCTCGCCCGGTCCTCCCCCCTCTTCGTGTCTCGCCGCTTCGCCGGCCGTCCCGACCGTCCCGACGTCCCGACGGCGGCGCGCCGATACACCGACCGTAGCCCACTAAACACACAAGAGCGAAAGAGAGACCGTCAAACATGGCCGCTCCAGCGGTAGCGCTACGGTCGCCGACTAGCGGCGCTGACGGACTCTCGGGCCTCGGCTCCGGCGAGTCCGGCGTCCCCCGCGAGCGAGGCTCCCCTCTCTTTCCCTCTATCTCTCTCTTTCTCGTGTAATTAACCAGTTGCGATCTGCAACAGCTTCCTATTGCTTATCTTTGTTCTTGTGTTCCGCACATTTTCCTATATTCCAGGTTTTCGTTTTACATTTTTCCACATTCAAATTCTTCGTCGTACAAAAGCCCATTCTCCCTCGTAATTACCTTTTCCGCGTAGCTCGTCTAACGCTTTAGGGGACTCGGGACCCCGGAGCGTTTAATGAAGATTCTATTCTATTTCTCTGCGCTCGAATTCGAATCGAAACTTTTACGGCGTTACGCAAATATGTGAATCACCCCGCGAGCCACGTCCGGATTTGAAGATCGAGAGATCGGGTTCAATTGTTTTACTACGTAAAACGCCCCTTCGTTAGAGATGCGCGGTTTTTCACGCCGAGTCGAATCGATGTGAATTTACTTTTTCGAATCCGAATCGAGTCGACTCGACTAAATTTCATCCAAGTCCGAGCGAATCTATAAGATTGACAATACACACGGAGTATTCGAATCATCTAAATTGGGCCTTTTCAGTTCAGGCGCTCGATCGTGAATCTAGTGCGAACTCGCGAAAGGTGAACAATTTGATTGAAAATTTAAATATTTGTCAATACAGTTGTTCACTTCTCACGAGTTTACACCAGAGGAAAAGATTCACGATTGAACCCCAGAGTCATCGTAATTTAAATTCGAGTCGAATTGAACTTTACGACCTCGATTCTTATTCGAATAGTTCGCGCCGTCTCTACACGGGGAGAATTTTTTCTTAAAATTTACCCCGAAAATCATGCGATCGTGGAACAAGATGGCATTTTGAAGAATTGGACATTGATTCTGCACTTTTGGCACCTTTTGCTCCTAGAACTGTCAGCTCATGAAAACATTTGCCTAATATACAAATTATGTGGCTTTTGTGTACAGACCGACAGTGTCCCACTATTCAGATTAAGTGAAAGAACAGCGTGGTATCATTGAAATTAAGTTTAGGAGCTTAACAAGAAGTCTATTCACTCGAATAAATTATAGGTTATAGGTTACCTAACCTTTACCTAAGGTTACTTTTCAGAATTGGTAACTTGTAACTGCAACTAGTTACTTTTATAAAGTAACTTTCCCAATCCTGTGCATATCCATCAGATATCTCCGCTAGTTATGCGGAAAACATTTTATACATCTATTAGATATCTATTAGATATCCGTAGTGGACATCATATGGATATTTAGATATCCATTGGATATTTATTAGATATTTTATTCTGTGTGGGGAAAATAAATACTAGTGAAATGTACAGTAAAATTTCGAAGAACTGCCACAAAATTCTCCGAAATGCCATGTCGTCCCACGCTCACATGACTTTCAGGATAAATTTGAAGAGAAAATTCTGTCCCCGTGTAGTTTCGCGCGAACGAAAGCGCGTATTCGAAAATGCACGTAAACGAAAACGGTCGAGTTACTTCGCTGCGTAAGGAAACGAGGAATTAGGCGATCGTGTACGGGGGAGAGGGAGACGTACGAAGCGACAGGGGACATCGGACCCGTCGGAAAGCAGACTGACGCCGGCGTCTCCTCAGCGCCAGTCGCTCGCGCTGCGCTCCACCTCCGGGGTCAACATTCCAGGACGAATTTCAGTCGCGATATCGCCCCGCGAGGGGAGAGACCCGACCGCTGTCCCGCTCGCCGGCGAACACAAAGAAACGCCGCTACGTGACAAAGGAAACGACGGGGAGACGCCGTGGCGCGACATGACGTGCCGGCTACGAATTTTTGGAGAACGCGCATCGTTGCGTCGCTAGTTTTTCAGACTACCGTGACGCAAGGCATCTTTCGGTGCGCATGAAAAGTAATCGCGGAAACGAAGACGCTCGCTCGCGCGCGTACGGAGGTCGCCTCGCATGAGCCCCCGAAAACCACCCCTGCACGTTCTATTTATTCTTCGGTGAAAATGTAAATCGTTTCAAATACGACATTTTTTCGCCAATTTTTACCGATGGAAAAGATGAGGGGCATAAAACGTTCGAACTGAATACGTACTGTTTGAATATTTTCTTGTTATTTTTTTCTACGTAGCTGAATATACATAAATTTGCAGATAAAAATTGTGTACTGTACACGGAGAGATTTTTTTTTAATTTGTCCTGAAAATCATGCAATCGTGGGACAACACGGCATTTCGAACAATTTTGTGGGAGTTTCTTTGAAACTTTACTACACATTCTACTAGT